CTCATTATTCACAGATGCTGTATTTGCAAATTCACTTACTGGCCGAAACATATTTGTAACCCCAAATTGATAGTCTCTGTGCTTTCACTGCCGTTAGAGCACCTGGGCAGAGTGACAAACATGTGTGGGTCACCGGATGTGCCTGTCCCCAGCTGAAGCTGAGCAAGGCAATGCTCTGCCTTTTCATTTCAATTTTCATACTGTAAACAAGTTTCCTGTTCATGGCATATTTAGGGCTATGCTTTTTGCTTTTTTGTGCTTTTCGTTGGTGATTTCAGTGTTAAAATGGCCCATAACCATAGTACTGGAGTATTATCTAGTGTGCCTATGGGTAAAAAGACTGTGATGTGCCTTTGGGAGAAAATACGTGTCTTAGAAAACCTCATTGAGGCATGATGTATACACATGAGTTGGCCATGTGTTCAATGTTAATAAATAACAATATATAATAAACAAGGTGTCTCTAAACAGAAACATATATAAAACAAGGTTATGCATTAATTGATTGATGAAAATATTATGTCCAGAGGCTCGCAGGAACCTAAATACGTATTTTCCCTAGGAGTGATGGGTCAGTATTCACTAATTCAGTGTCTGTGGCAATTGTGTAGCATGTAACTCCCACGAATACCAAGAATCGGCTGTACCATAGTCCCCCCACCCTTATTCATGGTTTCACTGTCCTCAGTTTCAGTAACCGATGGTCAAGCATGGTCCAGAAGCAGATACCTTCATGCTGATGTATTGTCAGAAGATTGACAGTAGCCTAATGCTTCACTTCCTCTCATCACCTAGACATTTTATTATCTCACATCATCACAAGTAGAAGGGTGACTGAGTATTGTAGAATAAAGATATTTTGAGAAAAACCACAATCACATAACTTTTATTACAGTACATTGTTATAATTGCTCTATTTTATTATTATTATTGTTCATCTCTGATTTGCCTAACTTATAAATTAAACTGTATCATAGGTGTGTGTGTATAGGAAAAAACATAGTATACATGAGATTAAGTACTATCCATAGTTTCAGGTGTCCACTGGAGATCTCAGCACGTAACCCCCTGGATAAGGAGGACTACCGTATATTTTTATCTGCTATCTTTATAGAAGACTTTGATATTAAGATTATGCTAGCTTCATAAAATTAATTAGCAAGCTTTGCATCCTTTAATATAGTCTGGAATAGTATAAATACATTAATTTCTTCTTTGGGCCAGTCTGTGATCAAGGCTACACACTCCCTACTTTACAACCTAATTACAATCCAGTCATATTGTCAGAGATTTTTCATGATATTGAGATAATCCAATAACTGTTTATATCAAATATTATTTAAATTAATAATAAAATTCCAATAATGTAAAGTTGCTTCACATTTAAATGTAAACTTCTTCTCATCATGAATTTTATCTTGAGAAATTAAAATTTGAAGACTAAATCCTAAGGAGATAAAAATCCAGTTCCTCAAAAAGTTAAAAATAGAACTATTCCACAATCTGGCAGTTGCACTACTAGGAATTTACCCAAAAGATACAAAAATACAGATTTGAAGGGGCACATGCACCTCAATGTTTATAGCAGCAATGTGCACAATAGCCAAACTATGGGAAGAGCCCAAATGCCCATCAACTCATGAATGGATAAAAAAGATGTGGTATATATATGCAATAGAATATTACTCAGCCATCAAAAAAATTAAATCTTGGGGACACCTGGGTGGCTCAGTTGGTTAAGCATCTGCCTTCAGCTCAGGTCATGATTCTAGGGTGCTGGGATCCAGTCCCCCATCAGGCTGCCTGCTTAGCGGGGGAGTCTGCTTCTCCTTCTTCCTCTGCCTATAGCTCCTCCTGCTTGTGCTCTTTCGCATGTGCACACACTCTCTTTCTCTTTATCTCTCAAATTAATAAATACAATCTTTTTAAAAAAGAATAAAATCTTAAAAAAATAAAATCTTGCCATTTGCAGCAATATGGATAGAGCTAGAGAGTATTATGCTAAGTGAAATAAGTCAGTTCGAGAAAGACAAATACCATATGATCTCACTCATATGTGGAATTTAAGAAAGAAAACAGATGAACATATGGGAAGGGGGTGGAAAGGAGAGAGGGAAACAAACCATAAGGGACTCTTAATGATAGAGAACAAACTGAGGGTTGATGGAGGGAAGGGGGTGGGGAATGGGCTAGATGGGGGATGGGCATTAAAGAGGGCACTTGTGATAAGCACTGGATGTTGTATGTAAGTGATGATCACTGAATTCTACTCAAGAAACCAGTATTGCATTAACATGTTAAGTAACCAAAATCTAAATTAAGAAATAAATATTTAAAAATTTAAAAAAGATACAGAACTGTTCCAGCAACACAATAAATAAATAAATGAATAGATAGATAAGATCAAAATCCAAAATTCTTAAGCCACAGTCCAAAAGATGTACTATCCAAAAACTTCTGCTCTGGTAAGTTAAAATCCCAAAGAAGTTGAGGTTTAATATTCCTCCTCCTCTGTCATGTCTGATTTTGCTCAGTGTCTCTAGACATCCCCCAATGCTTGGGTGGAGTGAGTGTTGCTCAGCGGCAGGAGACTGGGATGATCTCTGGAAAGGTGTAATTCATTCTGGACCAGAGAAGTTGAACTAGTCTCTCAAACACCCTACCTTTAACAAGTCCAATGTGTTCAAAGAAAGCTAAGAGTATCATAACATTGGCTTTACAGCTACCAAATTTAGGAACCAAGCCAATTTGCAGACCTACGTGCAATTATCCCAGATAAAATTATGTTCTCGGAACCCAGTTATAGTTGCCAAAGCACAAAGAAAAAACTCATTAGTGTCTGAAGGAGAGAATGGAGAAAATCTTGATTCAATTCACCAAGAACTGGTTAGTCTACGTCAGTTGTCCAAAGTCCACAACTTGGGAATTTAACTCCATTGCAAGAAATCCTCCACCAAGAGGTTAAATTTGGCACCATGCATTGTACACAGGGGAGAAAGCCGTATGTACTGTACATGTACTGAATCCCCCTTCAGAACGTGGCATTCCTGAAATTGCTATGTCCTTTTTAAAAAGATGTTATTTATTTGAGAGAGAGAATAAGTGGAGGGGAGAAGCAGATTCCCTGCTCACAGGGAGCCCGGCTTGAGGCTCAATCTCAAGACCCTGGTACCATGACCTGAGCTGAAGGCAGACACTTAATCAACTGAGCCCCCCACTCCAGGTGCCCTGAAAATGCTATATTCTTGCTAATATTTCTGCAGTGATACAGTACCAGACACTAAGTCTTATTTGAGGAGTCTTTGTTTCCCATTTGTCATATTTAATCAGCTAAATTACTAAGTTTTCCTTTAGGTCTGGTGTCTCTAGCAACTCGATGCCTCAGGGAGTATGGCTCTGACCAGGGACACACAAAGGTTTCTTGTGTGAACCAGCATTTTCAATGCTATGTATGCTGGCTTCTCTCTGAGGCCTGTGATGCCTTCCAGAGATGCGTTCTCTTTCATTCCCCAAGTCTATTTCACTGGACGATCAAAGCTGCTCTCACTAATTGTGAAACTTGGGCTCCTAGAGCCCTAGTGAAAACCATTCTTCTACCACACGCTGCTCCATATTACAATACGCTGTACAATTTGGACCCTGGGCACCAAGAGCTATGTTATAGGTAATTCATCAATCTAGTAGAGGGTCACCAGATAAAACTCAGCCCAGAGCTCCAGCTCAGCAGGGTGTGCTTGGTGCTTAGTCAAAAGGGAAAGGAGGATGGGGGTGGAGCACATCCCATGGCACATCCTCCAAGGGCAGCCCTGCAGCTGGGCAGGGCAGGCTGTGAGGTCACCAGGTGAAGGGGAGCCCCATGGAGAAACACTCAAGGACATCGGTTGGAGGCTTCCCAGCTGGAAGATTCTGAAGGCAGGAGGTGTTCTTTGTTCGCCCACTGGGCACTAGAGGACAGAGGCTGTGGGTGGGGACAGTAGTCCAGCCGTCTATACTTGCACTGTTTGAGCAGGAGGAGGCAAGTAGGTACGAGTTCCATGGGCTAAGAGATGCTGGGATAGCCAACTGAGCATAAGAGAGCTTCAAAGGGCCCACCACCACCCCCGCCACCAAGGGGGCTCCCTGTTGGGATAAAGAGACCTTGAAGAAAGATGTGGGAAGCTCTATGACAGGCAAGCAGGAAGTAGGGTGAAGGGGGGGGGCAGTCAGGAAAGTGCAGGGCAGAAGTTCCCATTGGGCTTCTCTGAAGGATCCGCTTATATATCCCCCAACGAGTCAGTATTTGGAGGGCCACATGACAGAGGGCAATTTGACGTTGCAGAGAGAACTATAAACTGTGCCATCTATATGAAGAGAACTTTGCTCCTTCCCCCTCTTCCCTTCTTCCCTTTCCTTGTCCCACCACCACCTAGGAAAGCAGTAGTTAATGGAGAAGTGTGACATCAAGGGGGAGCATTAATGAAAGCATAGATCTGTTGGAGGAGTGACCTCCAAGAATGTGTCACCATGTACATCCTGGGGCATACAGTCAATAGCATTGTATTAACTTTGTAAGATGACAGCGGGTAACTTTGTAAGGTGACAGACATTGGGGTGACCATTTCTCAATGTATACAAATGTCAAATCCTGATGCTGTACACATGAAACTAATATAGTATTGCATGTCAATCGTATCTCAGTAAGTTAAAAAAAAAAAAAGAATAAATGTTCCCAGATCTGCCCCAGGGATACAGCATTGAGACCAAAATATGGTGTTGAGGCTGTCTGGACCGGATACTTTATTGAACCCAGTTATAGGCTCCACAGAAACTTAAGATTCTGGCAGGCAGGTGCCGAGATCTATTCCTCACAGCTGCCAAGACAAGCCTCCTAGTGAGTCCCCTGCTGACTCATGTCCAGTGGCTTCCCTCTTTCTTCCTTGCTCCCCGCTCCCCCGCCTTCCGTGTAGAGGAGCCAGTTTCAGGTTACACTCGGAAAGGTCCCAAAGAGATTGCAAACTAACCTGATCCCGTGGCAGATTCCTGAACCACGTGTTTCAGGCAGAAGGGGAAGGAGATGAGGAGCTGGAATTGGAGCAGGAGGTGCAGTTTTGTGTTGCACTGGACTGGACTTCCAACATCTGAAAATGTGACAGCTCTCATGGCTGACAGTGGATGTGTTGCCAGCGGTGACCGGGAAAGGGAGAGCAGAAAAGGCTTGTGTAAAGGCAGCAATAAAGGATGCCTCGGTGGCTCAGTCAGTTGGGCGTCTGCCTTTGGCTCAGGTTGTGCTCCTGAGGTCCTAGGATCGAGTCCTGCATAAGGTTCCCTGCTCGGCGGGAGTCTGCTTCTCCCTCTCCCTCTGCAGCTCCTCCTGCTTATGTTCCCTGGCTCTCTCACTCACTTTCTGTCAAATAAGTAAGTAAAATCTTTTTCTTTTTTTAAAGTAAAATCTTTAAAAAAGTAATAATAAAGGCGGCAGTGAGAGAAAAACTGCATTTCCTGATTGTACCCTGACTCTGTTCAGCCCACTAAATAAGTCAGTGGCATAGGATATATTGCTCACCTGTTGTTTCTTTTTTCTTTTCTTTTCTTTTCTTTTCTTTTTTCTTTTCTTTTCTTTTCTTTTCTTTTCTTTTCTTTTCTTTTCAACTTTGTAAGACTGCTCACAATGGAGGACGCCCTGCTTTATCATGGCCACGATGTGGGACGGGGATTTGTAATAGAAACTGCAGGTCACAGTCATGACTCCTGAGCCCCTCAGCTCACATCCACAGTCCCCAAAGCCATCAGCAGTGGTTTCTGTACCCTCCATCTCTTCCTAACAGAGGAAGAGTTAGAGTTCCTTCTAACAGAGGGAACTGAGATTTGTAATCATGATTGACACTGATTTTTCTGCAGTTTGCTTTCAACCAAATGACACGGTCAAGACTTAGGTTCTCTGAGGCAACAGAAACAAATAATTACACATTCCAGTACTGGCCAAAATTTTTTTTAATCAACTTATATAATTTCCAAATATCTACAAACAATATTTAAAATTCATGAATAGATTATCCCTGCCTTTTAGCAGAATTTATGTAAACTACCTTTTGAGTAATGACATGCTTTGACTCTTAAAACTTCTCTTCCATTTTACTTTTCACAGCAACGTAACACGTTCCACCACCCACCAAGTAGACACTGTTTTCTCGAGCTGACATATTTGTTCCCTTCAGTGCCAGACCAACACATCTAGATGCATCATTGCTCTCCCAAGGAGGTGCTTCCTTCAGCAAATACTGTTTGTATGATTTTTAAGGTCCAGTTGGCCACCAGAGATAAAATAGCAAATGAAACAAAACCCTTGCCTTTATGGAACTTTCATAATAGTGGGGAGTTTGTTAACAATAAATTGATAGATAGATAGATAGATAGATAGATAACAGATAGATTCGATTAGGAGAGAGAGAGAGAGAGATTATAGATAGATTTGTTATAAGGAACTGATTCACATAATTATGGAAGTCGGCACGTCCAAATCTGTGGAGCCAATGTTCCAGTTTGAATCTGAAGACTGGTAGGCTGCCCTAGAACAAGGGAAAGCCAGTGTTGCAGTTTGAAGGCAGGAGAAGGTTGGGGAAGGTTCAGCCTTATTCAGGCCTTCAACTGATTGGAGGGGGCCCACCCACATTATGAAGAGCAATCTTCTTTACTTAATCTACCAATTTAAACTTTAGTCTCATCCAAAAATATCCTCCCAGAGACACCCACAATCATGTTTGACCAAATGTCTGGGCACCTCATGGCTCAGTCAGATTGGCACAAAGAATTAACCATCACAAGAGATTTTTAAAAACAGGTTGAAAAATAAATATCTCATGACTGTTGGCTATAGAGAAAATAAGCCTGATGGTCTCATGACGTGGCAATTAGAGAAAAAAAAAGGATCAGAGGAGGGAAGAGGTTGAGATAGGCATGTGTTTAAGTTACAATAGTGTCCCAAACGTTAAATACATCAGTATTCAAATGCCATCTTGTGGCTGATTATTTACATTAGGTTTCATTCATCCGGTGCCATTCATCTCACATCTGTTAAGATGTGTTAAAATATTCTTTTAGAGTCAACAGAGTTGCCTTCTTAAGGCTCCATAGTTTTATGCCTCTATTTCCTTGTATTATTAGTAGCAATTTCATGCCTGCTGGGTTCAGGGTACTGGCAGCCGTGCTAGCTTGACTCCAAGTTCAAATGCCTTCTTTGATTGTAATGGATTTAATTCAAGCACGCCATAAAATAAAATATTCATGGCCAGTGTGCATAAGGATGTCATAACAAAAATATTTACACATTTGAACCAACATACAGAATCACTTTACAACGTACCCTATGTTTAGTGCAACAATAACATCATTACATAGAATAAACAGGCCTGAATCATTTCCCAAATTCTAGGCCACCATAAATAGTAGTCTGCATTCTTGGCTCACTGTTGTAATCTTTGCTTGGTAACTTTATGCAGTCTACTAAAAGACATATCATAAAAAAGGGCCCATAACCCATGATTTATTTGTAAGACATATTGTCATTATTGCATGGGTCAGATTTTTATATTCTCTTCACAAACCACCCCCACCCCTGCCTCGTGACATCTGCAATGTTGAGAAGGCACACTGAAGTCAAGAGAATTCATTGCTGGCTTTCTCTTTAATATATAAATGTATCGAGTCTACACATTTTACACCTTCAATTTACACAATGCTATTTGTCAACTACATCTCATTAAAAATAAATTTAAAATATTCTGCAAGGGATCCCTGGGTGGCTCAAGGGGTTTAGCTCTTGCCCGCGGCCCAGAGAGTGGTCCTGGAGTCCCGGGATGGAGTCCCACATCGGGCTTCCTGCATGGACCCTGCTTCTCCCTCTGCCTGTGTCTCTGCCTCTCTGTGTGTGTGTGTGTGTGTGTGTGTGTCTCATGAATAAATAAATAAAATCTTTAAAAATAATATTCTGCAAACAACAAAAAAGCGTATTAAATAATGAAGTCACACCGAAGGATATTTACAACGTATATAATAGGTACAACTACCACAATATGAATACTGATGTAGGAGTTTCTTATTGCTCTGTAACGCATTACCACGAACCCTGCTGCTTAAGACACCTGTTCATTAGCTCATGGCTCTGTGTGCCGGAAGTCCAGAGCGGTGGGACAGGGCTTTCTGCTGAGGTTTTATCACAAGGGAGAAGTCAAGATCATGGCCAGCTTGGGGCGCCTGGGTGGGTCCGATGGTCAAGCATCTGCCTTCAGTTCAGGTCATGACTTCAGGGTCCTGGGATCGAGCCCCACATCCCACAGTGGGGAGTGTGCTTCTCCCTCTCCCTCTGCCTTTCCCCTGCTCATGCGCTCACTCTCTCTCTCTCTCTCTCTCTCTAATAAATAAAATCTTGAAAAAAAATGATGGCCAGCTTGAATTCTCATTGGAAGTTCTAGGGAAGAATCGGCATTCAAGCTGGTCTTGCTGGCAGAATTCAGTTCCTGGCAGTTGAAGGATTTAAGTCCTCAGTTTTTGACAGACCTTCAAGCCAGCAATGGCATGCCAGTCAAATCCTTCCTGTGCTTTGAATCTCTGGCTTCCTATTCTGCAACTAGCGGGAGAAAAGTCTGTTTTTTTTCTTTTTGAAGATTTTATTCATTTATTCATGAGAAACACACAGAGAGGCAGAGACACAGGCACAGGGAGAAGTGGGTTCCCTGCGGGGAGCCTGATGCGGGACTCGACCCCGGAATCACGACCTGAGCTGAACAGACACGCTCAACAACTCAGCCACTCAGGTGCCCGGAAAAGTCTGCTTTTAAAGAGTATTGTGATCAGGTTAGACATATGCAGTCTCCCTTTGGATTAACTGAAAATGAACTGATAAATTGCCTTGATTACATCTATAAAAATCTCTTTTGCTATATTAAGTGACATAGTTGCAGGTGTAACACTAGGGGACAGAGATCATTGGGTCCACCTTAGAATTCTTCTTACTGAACCCTGTAGCCTGTCCCCAGGTAAAGAGATTGAAACATGATTAATCCTCTGATCTCATCCTCTTCCTGCAATCCCAAATTCTGGGCCTGGGCTCCCTTGCTTTTCTTTACCCCTTCCCACACTGTCATGCAATGGGAAGCAGTATATTATTCTCTTGTACATAATTTCAAACTAGTCATGATGAAATAAGATGAAAATTGACCTTTTGAGATTTGCTTTTATATTTCTGCATGCATGTGCATGTGTAGATTATAAATATTTATTGCTGGATTTAAGAATAGATTACAATTGTTTTTAACCTATTTTTTTGTAGGTGAACTTTTGTTTCCAACCTTTTTTTTTTTAAATTTTTATTTATTTATGATAGTCACAGAGAGAGAGAGAGGCAGAGACAGAAGCAGGCTCCATGCACCGGGAGCCCGATGTGGGATTCGATCCTGGGTCTCCAGGATCGCGCCCTGGGCCAAAGGCAGGCGCCAAACCGCTGCGCCACCCAGGGATCCCTTTCCAACCATTTTTTAAAGACACAGGTTCTATGCTGTTTTTGTACATAATTCCCCTGGTTCACACGTGCCAGATTCTTTTGAGGGTAGAAACCTAAGAGTGTAATTACGAAGTTATGGGGTAGCCACATCTTTAGCTTTACTGAAGGATGCAAAAATGTTTCCTCCAGTTTTAGTTTTGATTTCTCACTTCATAGCATTGTGATCAGAAAACATGATTCATGTGATATTAATCCTTAAATTCCTGTATGTGTTTTTTCTTTATAGCCTACCTATATAGTCAGGTTTTTATAAATGTTTTGCGTTTGATTTAAAACCATGTTCTATGTGTCCATTGGATGAACATCATTTATTTTGCTATTCAAATCTTCTGGGTCCCTAGTAATTTGGGAATTATTTGATCTAGCCTCAGAACCCAAATTCCCTGAGCTCAGGGATTTTTGCCTATTGTGTTCATTGTTGTATTCTCAGTGCTGGTAGAGTAGCTGCTTGATAAATATTTGTTGCAGGAATGACTCAATTACTGAGGAATGAGTGCCACAACTTTCACTCTCATGTTGGATTAACTTCTTACTTTTTGGTATATGGTTCACATATTTGAGGTGATTGTATGAAGTGCAAAAAGGCACAAAGAGGATTCTATTTTCCTAATTGTTCTTGTCTCATTAGGCAGGAACTCTCTTTATCACTAGTAATCCATCTTGCCTTAACATATTTTGTATCTGGCACGAACATATCAACACCATTTCTTTTTTGGTCAGTATATATTTTTCTCACAGATTAATACTG